TTCTTCAGTAGTTGTCTGGCTGTCTAGCAGCACGAAGGAGAATTTTTACGTTTTTTTTTTTTTTTTAGTGGACCTGCATTTATAACATGGGTTAAGGATTAAAAGTGACCATGAACCAGCTACAGGTTTACCTCTGGATGTTAGAAATTCACAGTTTCAGTTTCAGAGCAGGAGAGGATTTCAGCGTTTCTATCTATTTCCACCCTTCTAACATAAAATTAGCACTAACTGTTATCTCAAGGAAAACTATTAATGCTGCAAACAATAAAACTACAGTTAAAGACCTACATTCAGTTTTTGACTTCATAGAAAACCAAGAAAAAAAAATGGCAAGAAGTTAAAGCAAAGTCACGGTAATTCTGTTTATAAATTGTTTCTTTTTTTTTCTGCAAAAAAATACCAAGAAGAACCAATAAAAGTACTTTTTGAGTACTGCTTGATCAATCAGCAGTATCAGTGAGAGTCGTGCTGCCCATCTCTAGTGACACTACATGGTTCAAAATTGTGATGGAGTGATTTAAACTGTGAATATCAATCTTCCTCCTCGACAAAAGAGGTTCATTGAGTTACTTATTTAAAGACCATCTGGAAAAAATAAATTAAAAATAGAAAACTGGATTTGTTAAAAGTGTCTCCTGCTCAAATGAGAACATCATACCAGGTTTGGTGAACTAAGTCCTCGTCCCATATTGACTGGCTGACGAATCGGGAAGGCCCGTGGAAGCAAGACTCTTCGTTGGTGTTTCAGAGACGCTGGCATCTTGCAATCAAAGTGGATTAATACTCCGGTGTTAGCCTGTCGCGAAAGCTGCTTCTCCAATCAGGTGCTGAATGCAAGTGAAGTCACAAAAAAAGACAAATTATTTAAAGAATATCTTGTCAAGTAATGAAAATAAAAACTGTTTTTATGTTGATGTGGAGGATGAATTAAACAATCTCCCATTCAGTCTCATTGTAAAACAATTTTAGTCTTTTCCTTTTAGCTGCAACCTCAGCAGTGTTTCAAACTGATAAAGTGTTAAACTCAATGACTTTATTAATTTCCTGCAAAGGATCAAAGTATAAATCCCACTTGCAAATCTGATATAATCTAAGTCAGCAAGTAAGCTAGAAAGTTGTAGTGTTTTAGTTAGAACCTGTTTTAGGTTTATATTTCCATTAAAAGGCCTGTAGAACAAACATGAGTTACAGCTAAAGTTAGCTCGCTAACTCCATCTCTTGCTCCACAGTACAGGCCTCTCGTGAGTCATTTGAACTTGTAGAAATGAATAATCACAATTGGTATAACGAAAGGGAGTCCTCATATTTACACAAATGCTTAAAACAATACTATATACAATACCAACAATAGCCAGCTCCTAGCTAGCTAGCTAGCTAGCTAGCTTGATGCTACTTTTTTCAGGTTAAAGCCATTCAACATGTCTGGTTATGTTCCTGTTCCCAGGTAAATACGTTTATAGAAAACTTAAATATTTAGCTTAGGCTGCAAGTTACTTTGCTTGAAAACTCAAGTGCCCAATGATTGTTTCCTCTGCTCACCTTGTTTAGCTCATACCTTTCATTTTGTAGCTCAGAACACCTGATGTCCACCTGCTGGTCCTTCATCTCTCTGGCATCTTCTGGTTGATTTTGCATTGCTGCAGGTTTCATTTCCCTTGTTTATTTCACCGTTTTGTTCCTTTCTGTCTGGTTTGTGCCTTTGTTTGATTAGAAGTTGATCCATTTTTGTTTCCAGGGCAAATTATGCTAGTTAGCATGAGGGACTACAATAACTGTCCAGTGTGACTTCACTAACTTGCTCAGGTGTCAAAGGAAGCTGTGTGTGCTGCCATTTTTGGGGGGGGTGTCATAGCTTTGACATGTACAAGTTTTTAGAATTTTCATTATTAAGTTGCCAACATGTTTAAATTTTTATTTTTTATTTTTTTGACAGAGAAAAATACTTTGGATGTTTGTTTAATTCTGGTTTCTAGAAATTAAAATGTAATAAAAATGAAGTCGACCAGAGTACAATAGAAAACATAAGGATTTGTCATCTTTGGACAACAAATATCTACCTAATATTGTTAAATATCTCAGTTTTAGGATTTTAATGATCACTTTTAATCAATTTCTGGCTGTTTCAGTCTCAATGAATAAATCTGAAGGTGACTGTGTGTTTACATTTGTCTTTAAGGGTCCCTGAACAACCTGCCTAAGCAGATAATCTTTATAATCTTCTCTTAAAACCCATTTTTGTGAACTTGCTTTCATGTGATTTGCATTTTTATAGATTTTTGTGGTCCCTTATGCTTTAATTGCTTTATTTGTACTTTGCATTCTTTTTTGTTTTGCTTTATTTCCTGTTGTTATTTCCCTTCTGGGTATCCAGCTTTTGCTTCGTCTCCCAAAGCCCCATGTAATCTCTATAAAAACATTGTTATTATTAGTCTTTCTGAATAAAGGTAGATTGGCCTTGTAACACTACAACAAACAATTCTGAAAATGGTTCTGATAAAGTAAAGGTGACCCTAAACTGTGTTGTTTTGGTAATAAACTATTGCAAACTTCAGTTCTGCTTCAAATATTCTTGGAGCTTTGCTGTTTTTCTTCTTCAGTGTTGCCCGTTCAGAGGCTACCATGAGGGCAAATGGTGTTCATGGCCTCGAGAGCTGCTCTGACCTTTGTTGGTCGAGGTCTGCAGCGGTTCGGCCTGTTTGGTGATTCTGCTCCGCCGCCGTCTGCCCTTTGAGTCTCACTAACGGAGAACGTGTGAGGAACTTTTAGGAAACTCTCGCACATTCAAAGTGTCTCAGCTGTGTCGATTTTTTTTTTAACAAAGCAAACTCCAGACCTGTTTAGTCAGGTTTATTCATTGATAGATGTATTTTTCTACTATTCTTAGAATGAATTGTATTTATTGACTCCTCTTTACTCACCTGTTCACACATTTTAGTCTATTCAATTTCATTTATTACTTTATTTTTTTCATTGCTTATTGTTTCTATAATTGTTGACTTCTAGCTCTATTTTAACAAAAGATGTTTTTTTTCATTTATTAATCTAGTTTGTTTGCAATGTTTTGTTGCATTTTTATTTATCTGTACAGTCTTTTGTGTTGCACTTTAATTTTATGAAAAGTACTACATAAATATAGTCTGACTGATTGATTGATTGATTGGCTTCATCTTATTCAAATTGTTTTCAATGGAGGTACACGGCTGCACTGAGCGGTATTTTCCATAAATACAATGAACTTCTGTGGTCTCGGTTGTTTAGAGTCAAGCTGTAACTGCTCACTTGCACAGTTGAAAACAATCCCTAATAAATAACAAATTTCCTCCTCTTTGAATAATTTGCTAAACTATATGTATATGTGTGTGTGTGTGTGTGTGAGAGAGAATATATATATATATATATATATAGCTGAGCTGTTTTATGACACCAATTTATCTTTCTTTGTGGCCTGAACAGAAGGGCTCTGGGCTGAGAGGGCAAACACTANTGAAAACACATTTCCTCTCATTGGACCTGTAACCTTTCCACTCAGTTTTAATGAAACTTAATGAAACTTGCTTTGACATTCTTCATGCAGTATCTTCATGCAGTATTTTTCTCATTACAACACGTTTTACACTTTAATGTGCCAGTACTTGCCAGTCGACCGTATTGAACTCCAATGCGGTCACATGAGCCTTTGGACGTTGATAATCTCAAACCAAAAATTGTGAGCTTTCGTCAAACGGCGTGTCGGTGGCGGCCCTCTGAACCGTTCAGCCCACTCCTGTGATGCTGGCTAGCTGCAGTTTGCTCCTACACTACTGAGGAGACACAGTGAGGTCTGAGGATTGAATGGAGTCAGAGCTCCATCTAGCGGACACGCGGCACAAGGACAGCATTCTGCACAATTACCACTTAACAGTATTTAGTGCTTTTTAAGAAAAGGGTTACGGTTACGTGATTGTCACTTTGCATCAACCACACTTCTGCCACAACCCCGACGTGCAAAACTACGTTATTTAACAATTCTGAACTGGAAAGATGTGTGTGTATGTAATAAATGGATGAAATAAATGTGTTGCCCAGGTTACAGTGGAGTGTAAATACTTAACAGTCAAAAGATAAGTGTGCTCTATGAAAAGAGGGAGCTGAAACTCAGTTCAACATTACTGTTATTACTGCAATGGATGAGGAGGACATCAGTGCTGCTCTTCCTCACAGGGATGAAGAAGGAGAGAAGACTCTTCACCTCAGACAACCTCAGCTGAATGGACATGTTCTCTGTAGAGCTTAGATCACATCAGTCGTAGATGTTCCCAATGATCCACATCATGGCTGGAAGGAAAAGACACAAACATTGAGAAAAAGATCTACAAGGTTCTTTCATTCCAACTGCTGGAACATTAAATATGAGAGTGAACACAGCAGGATATGACTGTAGCACAACATAGAGTGTGATGTTTTTGACATATCTTTTAATGTTAAGGAAGTGTTCGTTTCCCTGGATGAGGCTAAAGTACATTTTACTGCCTTAGAAGGACTCAATACACTGTTAAAAACAAAAACAGATCTGGAAAAAGAAAAAGGAAAAGAAAAAGAAAATTAAAGCTGCAAGCAGCGTTGGTCGGGTCCTCGGTCTGTGTTGGACCCTCATGCCCGTCTGACCTCCATTTTGNAAGTGCAGGTTTACTGATATTAACTATGACGGTTTGGCAATAACATGGCATGCTTCGTCACATCTCAACTCCTCTGACTCACAAACACGCTCTGCCACGCTTTCCATCCATCATCCGTCCAATAAGAGCTGCCAGATCTTCCAATAAAGTCCAATTGTGGGGAGCACGGGGAGATAGCGCCAACAGTAAAAGCAACAGATCCATGCTCGAATATGATACACGCCAGAATTAGGAAGACTTGTACTAGCATCAGTCAGTGTGGAAAAAAAAAAAAAAAAAAGTATCACAAACCATTAAACCCCAACACCTTTCAGTCATTCACCAACATACAAACAATAAATGTAGTGTTTGATACAATAACATGACAAGAGATTCATTTTTCTCACAGAAAAAAAAGAAAGATAAACCTTATAATATATGAACATCACTCGAACGAAAACAATTCAAGTAAAGCCTTTCAAACAAGAAAAAAAAAAACCCCTACATCATAGTTTTAAAATCACGTGGAATTCTTGCATCTCAGATTTAGATTATGCTGCTTATAAAAAAGTACATTCAACAGGTACATCAATTATGGAACAGAATGATAGCACGGAGGTAAGTGAGAAATATCAGTAACTGCTATTGAAAGAAAAAATAAAAATGTATACCTAACATTTAAGCAGACTGTTTTCAATTCTCTGGTTTTCCTTTAAGTCTGATTTACGCAGTTTTTAGACAAGCTCAGATAAACGCAGTAACCAAATCTAATTCCAGCACTGTATTTTTATTTATTTTTTTGTTCCTTATTGCAAATCTAATATGCGCTGCTATACATTTAGAATAAATGATTGTCAAAGTCGGCTGAGCTCAACACAACGACATTCACGACAAATGCAAAAGATTTTGCAGGTGGATGTCAGAGGAGGTTGCTTTGTTTTTTGTTTTTTTTTCATTTCTGCGCCAGAATCTCTTCAAAAAACATTCTGACGATGTTAGAGAATCACATCTACAGCCGCCTTTCTTTATCGAAACATTTCCCAAATTCACGCATTCACACATAAGAGTGAGTTTTTGCACATTTTGTTGTACTACAAAATAATTAAACAAAAAGAAATGTTGTTTTAAATCATAAATATAATAATTACATAAATATAATTATATGCTAGTGTATAATTATATTTATTTCTAAATGCAGGCCAACTAGTTCAGCCAACATCAGATAGTTTACATGTGATTTTGGACAAAAAAAATAAAAATAAAAATATATCACAGGAGCAAATAACAAAATGTGCAAGAAATCCGAAGGTGCACTAACTATGCAAACACTTTTTAACACGTGCAACTGATAACAATTTGCTTCAAATAAAAGCTTAAGTAAATCAAAAGCATCCTAAAAACAGAATAACTCAAGGGCTGTTTGACATTTATATTAACAGGACAACGATCACAAGCTTGATTTCAAACCACAGGCTCATCATACTGGAAGAAACAAACAAAAAAAAAGAGAGACGTTTGGTTGTGGAAGAAAGGTTCGGTTAATGTGGGAAAGAGAGTATATGATCTCTCCGCCTATTTTCAAGCAAGCAAGTCCACCGTAGGTAAGGCAAGATAATGTTCAGTTCCATCCAAGTGCAACAGAGAAGAACCGGACTGAACGTCACTTAAAAAGCTGCTGCAGAGCGCCCGGCAGCAAACCAAAAAAGACGAGAGGCAGGTGAGTGATGAAGCCACTGAAGAAGGAAAACGAAAGGCAGAGAGATGTTTTCAGTGTGACGTTTACTTGTCTCGAAGTCGAAAAACTCAATTTTGGCTTATTTAACTGCCTTTAAAACGCAGTGACTGATGACAGGATACAAACTGAGACAGTGGGACTCGTTAAGGTTACTGTTTTTCATATATTAATGTGCGCAGTGCAATCAACTAAATACTTGGTGTTTATTGACATCGCAGAGAGACAGAATGTGATTGAGTGTTCAATTAAATAAACTAATTGTGCAAAGCGACTTTTTAATGGACCGTATGAAGGGTCCTGATTTTGATCAGACTTTTGATTACACTGTTATTTTTTCCCCTGTATAAGCTGCAATGACAAGTGCATACTGGCGATTCCAGCATAAATCAAGCATCTAAAATTGAGTATATTCACTTAAACACATTTCAAGTGGCTAAACATCATGCTTTGTCATCATGGGAGAGACTTTGTTGACAATTTGTTTTGAGATATTTTTAGCATTTACACCAAAAATGTACTTAAATCTGTGATAAATGCCATAAAATGACTTTTCTTTCTATCTTGCTTGACAAAGTGAAACCAAATGACTACTGGGGAAAATGGCTGAGTAGTTCTCAGATGTGGCCTTCTGCTTTGATTACATACTGCATGTTCTGACATGGCACAAGGGGGCTCAGGCAAAAACAATAATAATTAACTCAAAGAAAAAAGAAAAAAAAAAGGAAGAAGGTTTTGCAGAGAATATCAGAGTTCCTACAAATATTTACACCACAGATACAGGCACTTGTATATCTTTGGTTGGAGAAACCCAACATTGCAAGAGTAATGCATTCACAGAGCTTTTGTGTCCCTTATGGTATGTCCAGGGTTCACTAGGCAACTGGTATGTTTATTTTTATTTCTTCTGTCTCTTTGAGTTTGTCCATGTTACAGGTAAGTTCTGGCATAGCTCTCTGATGTCTTTTTAACCTTCTGACAGCGCCACCTGCAACACAAGAGATGGAGTTTAGTGCAGCTTATGACCTTGTGACAAGAGAAGGAACACACATTATTACAGTCACCAGGAAAGAGCAGAGAAAAGGACATTTTCAAACCTTAAATGTAGTGGCTTCAAGAATTACGCATGTAAGAACTCCTCTTTACTAAACAGGGAAGGAGCCATTACTGTTTACTGATCACTTTCAAATGCTCTGATCCATCAGAAAACTTAACCAAATGCATGCTTAAAATCATGATACTTCTTTCAAATCATGTATTTTACATGAATTATTTAAATATTCACCAAAACGCAATAGCTTCCACTAAACACAACGTAAGAGTTCTGCTCTCCTAAGCCACTGTGAAGCTATTAGTGACTCAGCTCTGAGACTAAAAAAAAAAAGCAGCTGAACTGCAGGCTGTGTTTACACAGAGTACATATGGGACACATATGGAAACAAATTAAAAATACAAGTAGTAAAATACCTACAGCATGTAGAGCCACTATATTAGTAACATCTGTGAACACTTGTCACTTGGACAGCTGTACATGTTGGTGCCAATTTATGTAAGATCAATACTTTTAGAATTTCAACATAGTTTTTTTTCCACTTTTAAGCTGTATTACAATATGACTTTGTTGTACTGCATTAAACACATGTTGAAGTACCCCCTACTGTTTCCATAGAAGTGCTGGACATTAAAATTGAGTGAAAAAATGAGCCCACAGTGAGTAAAAATGTGACTGGAGCAAAAAAAAACAACAACAAACATTCAGAAACTCCTTGAGGAAACTCAGAGGCTTTAAACGTTTAAAACTTTGTGCCATCAAACCAGCTGAGGCTTTTATTGTGAAGCAGCTACAGAAAATTGGCGTAATCATGTCAGCGGTCAACACAGCAATAACATGGACCGACTCTGCTCTGTTTAGTCAGCACATCTGTTTTAAATATTGCAGGGAGGAACAGAACAAACAAAACTCATTGACATGAGCTTTTAGATGAAGCAATCTCCTGCTCGGTCTCGCCCCAACCTGCCCTATCCAGTAACTGTATAATTTTCTCTGCTGTTTCTGCAGCAAAGTGCTCATAACCATCCATCTGACCTGACTCAGGCGATGAGTCAGAGTGGTCCGACCTTTCTTTAAAAGTGTTCATCTCTGGACTGGTGCGAGCTGGATCCTCAGTCAGTGACTGTGATGTAAGGGGATACATGTGGGTAATGCTGTTGTGTGCACTGAGCAACAACAAGCAATATCATCAAGAAGGCCAATCTTCCATCACCCCTGGAGGGGTGAAATGCAACTAGCACCTACCAGCACAGTCAAGGGCACAACAGTGTTTTTATAGCTTTTCTGTAGGGTCACCAAAACCTTGTCTAATGCTATAATCACCAGTTACAACAAAATAATCAAATATGCCCATGAAAGCTTTAGGAAATAGCACTGCTACTAACAGCAGCGTTACTAGCTGAACTGCATTTCTCAGCAGGGTGGTAACAGTGCTGTTTCCATAATCAAATAACTTGTTGGTTGCAAAGTTGTTGTATTGATAAAGTAGCGCGGTAGAGTCAAAACAAAACTACATTTTCCTGAGCATTTCTGAACGGTCAAGCACAGCACAGCTTTCAATCCAATCTGAAATAAAACTACTGATCAACATGTGGTGCCACCACCACAACCCAAAGAGGCATTTCCATGTGGCCAAGAAACCATGTACTAATCATTGGTGCAGACTGCAAACACCAGCTAGCAGCTTGTCAACTAGTCAGCTAGTTACAAGTTGCTACATGGTTTTTACTCTCTGTAGGCTGAAAATTACTACATTGAAACATTAAAAAAAGGTCAAAAAATAGCTTCTGATATAGTCAACTATTTGTGCCATGCTGTTGTAGCTTAGCATGCTATATCTTTCTAGGGCTAGCTTTAGTGTAAGTATTACTTTAACTCACTGCACTTTGCAAGTCGCTTTCCCAACACTGGTTTATGCAAACAAGGGCAGCAATAATATGCACTCTTTATTTCTTTTGCTTTAGGCAGGCAATGTGTCCAAAGAGAAAACATTACAGTGCATGCAGATGTAAAGTATTTTGGACAGTCAGCAGAAAATCAGCAGTGTGATTGGATTGTGTCTTTGACCGATCACTGGTCAGTCGGTGCTTGGCTGAAACTACCTGTTGAGGTCATATAGCACTGCTGGTGTCTGTTGTACCTTCTCAGGGCAGAAGTCAGGGTTGGTTTGTCGTACTTTGCCAGGCCGCCCCTTTATGACTGCATAGCAGAACATAGTGATGACCATGACAAACAAGAAGTAGCTAGTGTGCATCAGGTGCAGGTTGATGAGGGAACGGTCATCCTGGGAAGAAAAGAGTTAAAAACACAGAGTTTAATATCTCAGAGTAACTGCAGCTTCAATTAGATTCAGGCTTCTTGATTTCTGCTGGCTCACTGCACAAACCATATAGAAGTGTGACATTGCTGATCACTGCCAGCTCCTACCAGGGCTGTGTTACAATGTGAAGTATGATCCAGTACATTTGTTCTATCAAAACTGTTATAGAGTGTGAATTGGAGTCAATCTGTGAGCATGTGTTCAGTCTCATTACAGCTGCAGGCCAACTCTGGGATTCTGTGTTTGGTTAAATGTTGTACCCTATTGATATTATATATTATGGATTGAGTGCTTTCACTATTACTTATATGTTTGAGCAGGCACCGTGTCTTTACATGTCTGCACATCATCCACTTTGCCCCTGGAGCCACTTGTCAGAACACCTAATAAAAAAATTGCCTGCTTTGCATTTCTTTAAGTACTTATTTCAGGTGTAATTTAAAATCTCACTGTCAGAGCAGTTACACATTGTTTGCCAAACCCATATAACTGTGCACATCTCTACAGGTATGCACTGTATATCTCCCTTCCTTGGGCAATAATAACTTAATGATTACACGAACAGGAGCTTTAACTTAATGGCCCACACACTGTGCTCTACAATGACAGTTCCTACTGGCTGCCGTCTGATATAATCTGATGCAAACTGATATTCTAATGCCAAGTGTATTAAACTGCACAGTGAGTCTGAAGAGTACAGACTTAAAACGTTGCTACAAATAAAGAATTTCCACACCGGAGGAAGGAAACAGGCAGATGATGGTGGTGTACCGGGCACCAGTCCTGAATTGTGTCTGTGTTCAGGTGGGCTGAGATCAGGTGACTGTGCAGGCACAGCATATATTTTCAAACCGTTTCCAGTCTCACTGGAACATTCAGTGCCCAGTTGTGGCCTGTCAATGGGATCATTGTTATCCTGGAACAATCTAGCGCCATCTGTATAGAAGTAAATGCCTTTCAGAATGGACTGTGTGTTTGGTCACATTTACTTATGAGGGGGCGAAGGGAGCAATCCTATACTCGCCTGAAAGCCAACACCTAAATAGTTTCTGTTGCTTTGTTTTTTTTGTATTCTGTAGTGCTAAAATGACTTTGAAAATAAAATTATAGAAAAGAAAATGAATGTGGAAGTTTAAAATACAGATAAAGAAAGAATACTTTTATCATCTGAAATTCTAGTTGTTTAGATCAGGTAAAAATTACAGTGAGTTAGGCATTTTGATAATCAACCAGTTTAAGAATTTTGTTTTGGGAAAAAAGGCTAAATTCTGTAACTCCAGCTTCTTAGATTTTACTATTTTCTGGTTTCTTTCCTCCTTTATGACATTTAAGTGAATATCTTTGGGTTGTTGTCTAAACAGGACATTTGAGGACGCCATCTAATTCAAACAAACTCAGCTGTGGTGCCTCTACTGTGGGTTTATCAATGTATTAATGGAGTTTAATGGCAACTTAAGGCTTTAAACAAGCTGATGAGATTTTGGATCCAGAGATTTAAATGAAGCACCAGCAGTATTGTGATAATGAGCCGCATCATTGTGTTTACACAGGATTTATCCAGTTTTGGGCTTTGGGAAACACTGACATTTTTCACCATTTTCTGACATTTTATAAACTAAAGAACTAACTGATTAACAGATTAATTGACGATTTATAATCGTTAGTTAAAGAAGTAGTTCTAGCTTGTCTGTACAGTAATTTTTAAAATCTTGAAAGACAAAAAATGGACAGAAAAAGAGCTATAAAGAACAATACATTCAAACAATAAAAACATTTGAAACATTTGGAAGAACCTTCCATCTGAGAGAGCCTAACTTATGATCTCTGAAAAGGAAGGCAAAAAATCATAACAAAACAGCTCCATGGTATAATGAACAGCTGCGTATTTTAAAGCAGAATGTAAGGAGATGGGAAAGGCAATGGCGCTCAAATAATTCTGAAAAATATCATCTAGCCTGGAAAGATAGCTTTCTCAAATATAAAAAGGCAATTCGTAATACCAGAACCGCTTATTATTCGTCTTTAATTGAGAAAAATAAGAACAATCCCAGGTTTCTGTTCAGCACTGTAGCCAGGCTGACCAGGAGTCATAGTTCTGTGGAGCCTTCTGTTCCTTTAGCTCTCAGCAGTGAAGACTTCATGAACTTCTTCACAAATAAAGTTTTAAATATTAGACAAAAAATCCAGACCATGTCTTTAGGTGCAGCGGCTCTGGAAGCGTCCACAGAAGCAGATGTGTATTTGGACAGCGTCTCTACTGTGAACCTCTTAGAGCTCACATCAATAGTTAATTCTTCTAAACCAGCAACATGTATGTTGGACCCCATTCCCACTAGACTGTTTAAGGAGATCTTTCCTTTAATGAACAGTACAGTGTTAGATATTATCAACTTCTCCCTGCTAACAGGCTACGTACCGCAGGCTTTTAAAGTTGCTATAATAAAGCTACTTCTAAAAAAGCCTACTCTAGATCCAGATGTTTTAGCCAATTACAGACCAATATCCAACCTTCCTTTCATCTCAAAAATCCTTGAAAAGGTCGTGGCAAACCAACTATGTGATTATCTGCATGTAACTGGTTTGACTGAAGAGTTTCAGTCAGGATTTAGAATCTATCATAGTACAGAGACAGCACTGGTGAAGGTCACTGACGATCTTCTTCTAGCTTCAGATAGTGGACGAGTGTCCGTTCTGGTTCTATTGGATCTCAGTGCGGCATTTGATACTGTTGATCATAGCATCCTATTACAGAGACTGGAACATGCGATTGGACTTAAAGGGACTGCGGCTGAACTGGTTTAAATCATATTTATCAGACAGATTCCAGTTTGTTCATGTTAATGATGGTTCTTCCAGCCGTACCAGAGTTGCTTATGGAGTTCCTCAGGGTTCTGTGTTAGGACCAATATTATTTACTCTGTACATGCTTCCGTTAGGCAACATTATTAGGAAGCACTGCATACATTTCCATTGCTATGCAGACGACACCCAGTTATACTTATCTATGAACCCTAATGAAACCAATCAGTTACTTAAACTCCAGGCATGTCTGAAGGACATAAAGGTCTGGATGACCTTTAACTTCCTTCATTTAAATTCAGACAAAACTGAGGTTATTGTATTTGGCCCTAAACACCTCAGAAACTCACTATCTGCCCAGATAGTTACTTTAGATGGTATCGCCTTAGCGTCTAGTTCCACAGTAAAGAACCTCGGGGTTACTTTTGACCAGGATATGTCCTTTAGCTTCCATATAAAACAAACATGTAGGACAGCTTTCTTTCATCTTCGTAATATTGCAAAAATCAGGAGCATCCTGATTCAGAGTGACGCTGAGAAACTAGTCCATGCATTTATAACCTCAAGGCTGGACTATTGTAGTTCTTTATTATCAGGATGTCCTAATAGTTCTCTTAAAAACCTTCAGCTTATACAGAATGCTGAAGCCAGAGTTTTGACAGGAACCAATAAAAGAGATCATATTTCTCCAGTATTAGCTTCTCTCCATTGGCTTCCTGTAAAATCAAGGATCCAATTTAAAATCCTGCTTCTAACATATAAAAGTCTTAATGATCAGGCTCCATCGTATCTTAAAGACCTTGTTGTTCCATATTATCCTAACAGAGCCCTTCACTCTCAGACTGCAGGTCTACTGGTGGTTCCCAGAGTTTCTAGAAGCAGAATGGGAGGCAGAGCCTTCAGTTATCAGGCTCCTGTCTTATGGAATCAGCTCCCAGTTTGGGTACGGGAGGCGGACACCCTCTCTACCTTTAAGATTAGGTTAAAAACGTTCCTTTTTGATAAAGCTCATAGTTAGGGCTGCTCGGAGTCATCTGAGCTGTCCCTTAGTGATGCTGCTATAGGTTTAGACTGCCGGGGGATTCCCATGATGCACTGGGCTTCTCTCCTCTCCTCTCCTCTTTATATATATACACATGTGTGTGTATATGTTTATATAGTTGCCGATCTGGAGCACCTGAATTACAGCCGCTGGCCTCACCTTTCTACATCCTGCTGCCCCCACCATGATGCCTCCTGCTACAAAAGGACAATAACTTCTACTAACTTGTTTAACTGTAAACTAAATTTTATAATTCATCCTACATCCACCCAACCGGTCGAGGCAGATGGCCGTCCCTCCCTGAGCCTGGTACTGTCGGAGGTGTTTTTTCTCCCTGCAGCGGTTTTCGGTTCCTTCCCACTGTTGCGTACTGCTTTCGGACTGCTGAAGCTTATAGGGAATCCAAATGTTTTGGATTGTTGGGTGTTTCTGTCTCTGCCTTTGTTAAGCACTATGAGATGACTTGTTGTTGTAAATATGCGCTATACAAATAAAATTGAATTGAATTGAAATTGAATGATTCAAAGCTGGACGTTGGTTCACTGGAGCGGCATTTTAAAGTGAATTTGTTTTCCTTGAGGCATTCAACTGCACATACTTCTCTAGACTCAGCTGCTTCTGTGGAAATGAACTGAGACCTTGGAATGACAACATTAGATAGCTGTGAGTCTGAATAATGTTTGCCGTCGGAAAGTAAGGAAGCAGTGACTCACATCGGGAACAATGACGGTAAGCTTTGGGTTCAGTGCGTGGTACACCTTGCCGATGGCTCCTTTGTAACACCAGAAGGGGTTGTAGTCCTGACTGTACTTAGTATCTGAGTCACGGACTGTGGTGAACACCTTGTACCAAGACGTGGCGTTGGTGTACGTCTCCGGCACGCAGTGTGGCGGCTGCCTGCAAAAACCAAAAGACAGATTTTCTGTTGATTGGTGTCACAACAGTTCGGTTATGCCAGAAAATTTAAAGATGCTGTTGAAGAATTTCTTGGTTTCCTGGCTCAGCATTTGGTCATCTGTTCACTTGTTTCATAAAGCTGTAATATGAAGTATTGGCCAATTTGTTGACCACAGAAAATTGTCAGTCCAAAAAAAATAAAAAGATAAGGGACATAGCTGTGGGGTTTAAAAGCAAAGAACCAAATCTATTAAAAGTTCATACTAAAGGGGGTGAATAATATATAGAATAAAAACCTACTTATTGAGTGAAAATTGTAGCTAAATATTTATATTTATATGTTTACATTATGCAGTTTAGCTATGGGCCACCAGAGGGCTCCAAAGCAGTATCCAAGGTAACTAATCCTTCCCTGCCAAGTTAAGTGAGATCCTTCAATTGCATGTCCACAAATAAGGGCAGACTACATCCAAAACAACGAACATTTTCCAAAATTAATTGAACATAATTACCACCGAGCATCAGATAAAGCTACACATGTCTGATGGGACCTTCATCTCACCGCTAACAGCTCTCCGTCTCCACTTTTGCAGCAGTGCTTTGGCTATTTATAGTTTCAGGGACTGACTAGACATGCTACTGCTCATCCCTGAAAGACTCCTGAGGCGCGATTCACCAAATTTACAACATGCGATCTGATGCGATTTGTGGCACGATTCCCTCTTGCTCATTTTCACAGATTAAACTAATCAAAACAAACCGTGCATGAGCATGAAAGAGCCCTGTACGACAATTTTCTGAGCATCAATCATTCGTAAAACCTATCGCTGCCACAGTATGCAGTAGTTGTAAACCATGTTAGATTTAGAGCTACTGTAGGAATAGTTGAATTAGAAGATTTTAACTGCTACATTGCAATGTGTCCCATGAGATAGTTTTTTTTTTGTGCTAACACGTCAATTACCATTTATTATCTACGGCTGATAAAATTTGCTGGCAGCATGATTGGTTGTCAGTTCCAAAGAAGGAAAATATAACATTTTGTATGTCTATATAGGCTAAGCTGCTTACTATTGGTAAAGAAACACATCACTGCAAATCCTCATGTAAATTAAATTTGAGCAGATAATTTTGTTATGTTCAAACAGACAAAGCAACGATGCAGAAGGGTGGTGCACACACCAAGGCCAAAAAATTATGTAAGTCTTAACATGTAAAAACACTGCACCGACATTCAACATTTTAATTCTTTGAAGCCTATAACCTAATAGCAGTTTTGAAAGGCATGTTATCTTTTTTAAATGAAAAAACTAATAGGAAAAAAAATCCATAATTACACTTATTAGTTATAAAATGTAAAAACAGCAAGAATCATTGGAAGTTGAACTTTCTGTAAATTAACCATGTGTGACGCATAGTTTGGTCAGAAAAATGCACCACTTCTAAGCTCAAAACAGTGATATCTAGTGAAAAACACTTTATTTCACATGTCTCACTTAAAAAGCCATCTAAAAATAAACTGTTTGAAACAGATTCTGTAAAAAAAACAAAACATTCTGCTGTCTTTGGCACAGCGGAGAAGCCTGTGACAATCAGTCATGTGGCAAAAACTCAATGAGTTTGCAGCTCAGTTGGGCTGAACTGCAGGCTGTGTTTACACAGAGCAGATAGGAGATGAGTTTGGGAACAAAAATATGAGTAGTAAAATATCTCTAATATGTGGTGATACCATTTATTTTTCCAGTATCAGTAACACCTGGAAAAATGTTAGACATGTTGATTCCAGATTTTTCTTACACTTATGTAAAATAATCAAAGAAATTCAATTTTTACGTTTTTATGATTTATTGCATTATAACTTTGCTATACTGCACAGAGGGCATTTTTGAGTTTTCTGTACATCTAGTCTTGGTTGTGCTGCTTCCATTGAGATGCAGGACTTTATATTGCAGTGAAAAATGAGCCCGAAGCTGCTTGGGGTTCAGAGGGTAACATAAGAAAAATATCTGTTCAGTTTTGAATAATCATTCTGTTCTTGCCAAGTGCAAAGAATAATACATCTCATCGTGTGTCTTGCCTTTCTACTCATTCACACGTTAATTTTGACTTCTCCGGGAACACATTTTATCCACTAATCATCAAATATACCAAAACATTGTCAGGAATGAGTTGAAGATAAAAAAAAAACACTGGGAAATTGTATTTCATTTTGTCTCTATCAGCCAGATCTGTGCAGATATGAAGCGTGTTCCCATGAGTCAGGGAGGCAGTCCAACTCACACTGTGACTGGGAAGATATTGCTGGCCGCTGTGATGGTCATGCAAGTGCTGAACACCACCTGCTCGCAGTGGCCGTGCAGCACACAGTCGTCCGAGTTCCAGGACACGGGCAGGGTGAAAGTGATGTTTATTTCTTCATGGGCTTCCCGGCCTACACACAAAAACATGCAAGGATACAATGAGAGCATAACAGATTATTATCACATTTACTGGCTTCAAACTCCCTGAAAGAGAAAAAAAATTGCTGTCAGTTCTTCCTACTTTTCTTGCTGTTTTTAGGCAGCCTTATATTTTTAGGAAACCCACTCGTAAGCACAATTCATATGCTTTTAAACTGCAAACCCACAAGCATGTTAAAAAAAAACAACAACCTGTCAGCCAATTATTAGAGCCTAGAACCGTCTAAACAGTATGCGCACAACTCCCACAGCAGGAAATCAGGGAGAGCCGCAGCAGCAATATTTGATGTCACACCAAGCTACTCCCCTGATAACGAATGACAGGCTGACTTTGTAGGCTTATGCAATATTTATCAAACTGCAAAGGAGATTAGAAGATTATCAGTCAAACTGAGTGGACTCCTGGGTGTGACTAAGGATAGATGTGTCTATCCAGATGGGAACTACAATGAAGAATCAGTCAGCAGCCAAAAATAGTTCCAGTTCTCACAAGCAATGTCAAACGGCCGATGAAGATGTAATATAGGTGCATTTGCCGAACTTTTGTTGCATCTCAACATTTTTATCTGTGCTAAACACACCGGAAGTTTAATTAGACAGGGAAGTAGACAATGATTAAAGATGGGCATATATACAGAAACCATGTCAACATTGTACGTAATATGCAGCACTGTTATCTTTACATGTGTCATGTAAACAGTCTTGAGTAATTAAGTGATTATCCAAACTTAATGAAAGAAGAGGCTGACATTTCTTAGAGGTACTTTTCTTTTTGTACTGTCCTATTCAGGCTGGACTGGTTCCTGAGTGTAATAAAATATTTGCATAGCTCCTTATTTATTTGCTCATCCATCCTGGTGCTTCGAAAATTTGAGACAAGAGTCCATGTTGTTGGCAAACAGCTCAGCCTATAACAAATACAGCACCAAAAAAGTTAAAGACAAACAGCGAGAGTATAATTTGATATTCAAAGTGTTCTCGAACGACATTAAATTATCCGCAGGATAAAAGAGCAATTATCTGGGGCTTTAATGTGCACAAAGGCAGAAGTCTAAAACCACAGATATAGTCCACATGAACTAGATTAATATCCGTGTATAGGGCTGTAAAAACATACATTTACTCATCCTTAAATCGAGAGTGTAATCCAAACAGAGATATAAATGCATTATCTTTATTGGTCTGTTACTAGATAATAAAGTAACATGCTGAAATGCAACTATTGCACTTATTACAACAGCAATTCTGTTGGAAAGCGCTCTATCCACTGAAACTGAATCACCAAACATAAAACATATTAAAGTTCAGTCTGTTTGTTTTAAATGCCAAACATCTGGATACATATTTTAGCTTTACAAAAGTATGAAACTGGATGTTATCTCCTCAAAGTGGATGCACAACTTCACAATTTAGCTTCTTCACTTCTTCCAGCCTCGAAATTCTTGCTCTGGGGAGCTGTACAACCAAAGTATCAGAAGTGTAAGAGGAAGAAAACAAATGTGCTCTTTGTCACTTGAGACAGAAGTAAAAAGTTCACAAACAAGTACATAAGCATTCAGACACGCTGCGTCCAGAAACACTTTTGGAATTCACTTTTCACTTTTGCTCGGCCTTCTAAAGCCTTTAAGTGTGAAACCTATAGGGGGGACCGAGAGGGGACAGCTTAATGTTACACAACGCTGCCACTGTTTGCTCCCCACGTCTAAGTAAAGTCACCACACAAAGAGGTAAGGTAATAGTCATTAGAAGGAGAAGCTGCCATTGTCAAAAGGAGTAAGCTGGAGGAACCACAGAAAAATAGTCCAAGTCACCAGAGACTGCATAAATGTGTCAAGTAAATCTGACTTATGTAGAAATAATAACCCTAACACAATGTATTTGCAGGTGCAGAATATGCAAAGGTCCCCCTTTGCTAGATTTACTGATTTTTCATATCAATTTGAAACACATGTAGCACATCAGTGAAATGATCTGATACACTGAGTTACAATCATTCCTGTTCCTTTCTTTATGTTGGCCCACTGCACTCTATGTCAGCTGCTGTGAATGTGGAGTATATCCACCACATGTGGCAGCAAGGCACGACTTTCTCATAGACTACATGAGGCAATTATAGGTTTTATGATACCACTGTATGGCGTGTTTCACAAACTGGTGACCCTGTTTGGGGTTCTATCAGGTTACATTTCTTTCATATGGACAGCTTGTCCATGAAGTGGAATTTAATAAAACAGAATTGACAGAAAGAGACACACAAACATGCACGCACACAGATACTGATTTGCTCTTAACGCAAAATCTATTTCTCTGACAACAAAGCAAATACAAAAAGTCTGGTCAATGAGACAGAGAACCTACCAGACAGGCCCACTTGCTGCCCCAGCACTGTGGCATACAGGTGGGTGATATTGCGAGAATAGCCTCCAAACGGGCGCTGAGGGTCCAGTGTGAGCGTGATGGGGACCGAGATGTTAATGGGACCTGAGTCCTCGAGCAGGAGGGGAGCCTGGGTGCTGGAGCGAGCCTGGCCGCTGGTCACGACCATGCTCTCTGGTGTGGTTGACTCGTTCAGGCCGTGTTTTATTGTCTCATTCTCTGACACACAAAAGTCCAGCTCATTAAAGCGCAGCAGAAAGGTGTTCCAGTCCTGAGGAAGATTAAGTATGTTTTAATTGTTGGATACATCTTGCATGCCTTTAGCTCTGTTCACAAGAGGCTAGCATTACCTGGGGTTCTCTAGTAGTTTGTAATAATTGCAGAGGTCATTTGTGATTTTAATCCAATGCAAATCTGCCATGTCCATAATTTGTAGTAAAATATCCACCTCAAACTAACATATTTTGCGAAATGGATAATATTAATTGGGGTCTTTATTTTTGTCGAAGTTTGTGATTTCTCTGCACCCTTCTTCTGTCGCTTTCTCATTTGCAAACTATGGAGGCTGATTTGGCAATGACAAACGAGAGTTTGGAGCTTTGTGCGTGCAAATTCAGGAGACTCATGTTGCCACACAGCATTGAGATGCGTTGACAGAAAGAGCAAATCCATCAGTGGAGCAAAGTCTCAAAGGACGATTATGTGGATGATATGAACGACAGTATGCAGCAAGTAATATTTTACTCTCTTTCAGCAGCTTCAACAGTTATCAGGTGGCAGCCGATTAATGTCACATCTGCAAATTATGTCAGCAAATTAGAGTAAAACACAGACTTCACTTCTCCTGTGAAACACAGACGTGGGGGCGTAATTTCTAAATCACATAGGGTTCTCAGATGATAAATCATATTTAACTTTCTGTCTCAAATTATGGGACAGAATGCAAAGAACTTCCCTTGTGATTTTTCAGCAAAGCATCGGCAGACAACATTAAACCTACTTGTGAAATCTATATCTACCAGCACACTTATAATCGATTCAAATACGATACTACCTACAGCCTTTTTGATTTGCATGGGTTTCCTATTTAGATTCACATGCAAAGGTTAATTTACATGTATGCATCCTCTGTATTTGAAGCAGATGGCAACTATAAAAAACACTTACCTGGGCCCAATGCCTTAAAGCACAAATTTACATTAGAGCCAGGTGGAAATGGGGTCAAATGCATTGTGTAACTTGCACATTCGCTAATTGTTATACTAAGACAAGCACCTTTTTTCCTTACTTTTACTTTCCTTAAAAGAAAATGTACAACGTAAGATGGAAAACATTCCACTTGTGGATGCACAACTGCAAATACCATTAAATCCCACCCAAAAAGAGCCTATAATAAATAAGCTCAAATAAAAAAAAAAACATACACATTAACTGGGTGAGACTAGAAAAAGCTAAGTGGGTCATAGTGTACATGGTTCAAACTTTTGGCCAAATTCATTACTGTGGTATAACGCAGGCCACAAGCTTACATTTAGCATTAGCAATGATCACATTCCTTGTACTTAAAAGATACTTAGAGAAGACAACCACATAATGTGTTTTAAAGATCCGTGTGGGTTTGGCTTACCTCTGTCAACTCTGGAGACTTGATCTCTTTAATCTTGAAGAAATAACCAATGGTCAGGAAGGCGATGGCCACTGCACTGACGCTGATCATGAAAATGACCAGAGGTGGACGGTTGTTGATGTAGCTTCTCAGGTTCTCTATAGGATTTAAAAGGTACACCTGCACACAGACAAACACACAATGTATTTAAGCAACAGGCTCATTTATAGGAGATTAATGAAAGATGACTTCTAAACCTTAACGCAGACACCTCAAGTGAAGTCACCAAGGTATAAATTTGACCTCAACAGTGGAAAAGAGCTGCTTTGGCCTAAAACTTGAGGCAAATTAAAACATCAACAAAGCTGCTGTATCCCCAACTCAAAACCAGCAGTGGTGCTTTGTAGCATCACTCCACGACTGATAACTAACAAAAGCAAAAAATGCCAACTAAAATAAATTAGAATTAAACAGGGGCTTTGTTTTAGAATCAGGATTAAGATTGAGCACAAAATAAATAACTAAAAAAAGCAGTTGCTTGTATCTGATGACTGCTTACAGACTTAACATGGTTGCAAATGGATGTTGATCTTGTCTTCTGCGTAGAAAAATGGGTATTATGCACTCTGCCTGATTATGGTTGCACCAATGTACTTGATAATGCATCATCTTAGAATAAAGTGATGAAGGATTAAATCTAATCTCAACAAAATGAGTGCAAGCTTACTGCTCATAATGGTGACACATTCAAGTTCTTAGTCAACTTGTGTTAATTTCAGTTAACAACAGCAAAGTTACATGGGACAGATATGATAAAGCATATTGAACATTCTTGTAGATCTATTACAAATGAAACACAGCTTTTGATGTTTTAGAGGAGCAACAATATCGCACCTCAAGACAAAATAACAAAAGAGATACTAACAGACACAACCTCGACAAAACACATTTTCAGACAGCTGGATCCTGCAACTAAAGAATATACAAGATACAAGTATCTCTGGTGAAACACATCTATGTCCTTTCAGATGTCTGAAAGTAGTCCACACATCATGTAAATATAGAACTTAACTACAACTGGTTCAGCGAGATGCTTCACCAATGCTGTGATGCTTCAATAGGACATTTGCCAGCACTGAATTAATAAAAATAAAGCCTTTAAAAAGGCCCCATATGGTATTGATGTGGTTCGCCGTGGTTTACATTATGGATGTCAACTGGCATGGCACTGCGGTTCAGACAATCTGTTAATGAAACAACTGTTTCTGGCTGGAAAATTACCAACTTTAAAATTAAGGTTTCATACAATGGCTTTTAATTAAATGTACAATTGGTGTAATGCTGAGTAAAGGACTGGAATATGCAAAGTATTTTACACTGCTACACCAGAAGCAGAGCCATGTTATATGGTCTAAGTGCAGACGGTAGGATAAGAAATCACTATAAATAACTTCCCTCTGCACACTGACTTTGATAATTTAGCATGGAGTACTGTGGCATTTAAGGAAGATAATTGTTAATGCAAGTGATCCTGGTTGTCTGAGACATCTGGCCACTTCTTCATAATTTTCACTCTTTAGAGACACGACAGTTACCTGCTTGTGCATGCAATTTTTTAGCCACATTTCCTCAAGTTAACATATTGTACGTCTAGTACTGCATGCAAGGATGATTTCCGCATAAGCATGTGATTATATCTTCCTGCAAAACGCACGGTCACCAAGACGAGCTGCAGCGTCCAGTTAGAATTGAGAAGTTGGGAGAAAACGGCCAATAACGTGACATTATCACAGACCTGCAGGGACACCAACTACTACAGAGATGTTTTCATTAAAAACAGCTCAACCACAACATTTGGCATTGCACAAGATAAGTTCACACTGCAAAGGGTTTTAAACCAAGCCTTGTGCTTGGCTTTCCTCATACCAAACACCGCAGCCAGGTGACAGAAGCTGTCAACCTTGTAGCACGACATGCTAGCTACCTGGCCCTCTGAAAACTGTTCAAAGGCATGACAGCAGCATGACACGTTTAGGATTAAACTCTAAAATCAATAAATTAGCTAGCAAAATCTGATGAAACAACGCAGGGGCAGTCCTCACCATTTTTTCTTTCTGGGCATGCGACGGATGCTAGCTGGGAGGGTTGGTTACGGGCCACAATAAGGCAGCAGTGTTGCTAGCAAGTTAGCCTCTCCGCGAAGCTAGCCTGCACTGCTAGCTTGCTCGCTCTCCCCAAAGCTAGTCCCTACTGAATAAACCGCTGAAAAGCAAGAGTCGGTGTTCGGTGGAGACAGCCAGGCTTTCAGCGTACGAAACACCGCGTGTGCTCCTTCCCATTCTTCGCTCCGTTAAGTTTCCTGCAGCTCTGGTGAGAAATGTATTCACAGGCTGGAATAACGTCAATAATGTATCTGGGTCCTCCCTGCCGACATCTCCTCCGCGTACCCGCACTGCGTAGCAGTAGCGACGCAGCGCCGCTTCTCGAGATTTCCGTAGAACATGCGCCCGAAAATGCTCGTCCACGGGTTACTGATGACGACGCGTACGTAGTTTACGTAGACCAGAACGCATTCAGCATGTTTACAAATTGTTGGAGGCTTTTGGTGCATTAACGTACTGTAGGAAATATGAATATCACGAGGAAATTGCCTCAGGAGATGAGGTACGTTTGGTTCGTTTCTCTAACTATACATACCATTATAGTTTCTGTTCAAAATGTTTTCAGAAACCCATCTGTACAGATAAACATTTGGAAAACGTTTTATTCCTTCTCTGATACTCTGTTTTTAAAGTAATGTTTTGTTTGTTTATACTGCCTTTTCTAATGTTTTGTGTATTGTAATGTACAGTGTGTTATTATTGTTGTTGTTGTTATAATTACCACTAGTGCTACCTCTATTTCTACTGCTACTAATTCTACGAGTACTACGATTATCATTTTATGCTACTGCTACCACTAACACGACGATTGCAATTATTACGGCCATTATGCTACTATAACTACCACGGCTACCTCTGCTTCTACTTCTGCTATTACTA